TTTTTTTTTTTTTTTTTTTTTTTTTTTTTTTTTTTTTTTTTTTTTTTTTTTTTTTTTTTTTTTTTTTTTTTTGTCTTGGTCGTTCTGCAGGTTGCTGTTTCTGCAGGAGAGCAAATCTATATATAGCTTGAAGCAGCTCCCCCTGACGTGTTGTTCGCACTCCTGATTGGTCGGTCAGAACAATGACCTTATCTACTTTTCCAGTATCAGATAGTAATCATAATCATAATAATGATTGCTACATGTCTGTTGCATTGGAGATCTCGCTGAGGAAATCAGCGAGTCGGCAAATGAAGCCATCGACAAGCAATAGGGAATGGTGGGACTGGCTAAAGGAATAGCAAATTCCACATAGTAGTGGATGGCGCCAAAGTGGAGGCCACACTGACCGAATAGACCGGAAAGTTCGATCATCAAATAAGTTTGATCATCCATAATATTTCATTAGAGTCATTATATGATTAGACAGATATAGGTGATAATAAGGGGTCCTTTCAGGCTTTGATTAGATAGATATAGGTGATAATAAGGGGTGCTTTTCAGGTTTTGATTAGATAGATATAGGTGATAACGAGTCCTTTTCGGGCTTTGAGTAGATAGGTATAGGTGATAATAAGGGGTCCTTTTCCGGACATCTGTTAAACTTGGAACGCTACAGAGAAAGAGAAGATTAGCATTAGCATGGACCCGACCCTGTGCTGTCAATGATGACATGCATAAATGAGAAATGGTGCAAATTTTAAGGGGGTGAAAAAAAAGTAATAATAAGCTTGGCTGGATAATAATTTGATTACAATGATTAGTATGATTACCATCCGACTGACGATAAGATCCAATTTTAAGGTTTCTGTCCGACAACTTTTCTTGGGGTGTTCTTCTCAGCTGCGGCTCTTGAGGAGAGGGGTGGGTGTGTGAGGGATGGGTGGGAGGGGGTGGGGTGGATGGGTGCACTGAAGGGTCCTCCTTTTCCTTTATTCACTGTTTTATTACAGTCATATATCAGTCAGAGAAAGGGGTGAAAAATTTTGGGAATTTCCTTGCCTTATTTCTAGGCAGACTATAGATAGGAAAGTCCACTGTATGCGGGAAACTCGTGTATAGAATATAGATAGAACGATTATAGGATGAGCTGAAATAAAAAAGAGAAGCGAAAAATAAGAGAGGAGGGGGGGTGCTTCTCTTGTGGAGCACTTCGATGATGTGGCCCACCCACCTTTGGTTGAATAGCGATTGCTGCGTAGCTGTGATGTCTTATGCGTTGGGAATCCTGCCTTCGAGCACCGGTGCGGATAGTTGAGCATTCGCAGATTTGTCATAGGCCTAGAGCAGAGTGGAGAACATGACGTTCGTCTTCCTCTTAGATTGATTGACTGTAGCATTCCCGATTCCGCTGACAGTCAATGTAAGTTGTGTGGGTTTCTCTTCTTCCCCATATTTTGATTGCTGCGAGTATTCTTGGTACCGCAGCCAAGCAAGTTTGACTTGTGTGTGTTTCTTGAGTTGTGTGTGTTACTTGAGTTTTGTGTGTTTCGTCTTTCCCATAGATTGCCGCAGGCAAGCAAGTGTGGGTTGTGTCGGTTTCTTCTTCCACATAGATTGATTGATTGATGTTGCCGATCCCCCCCCGCAGACAGGCGAGTTTGAGTTGTATGAGGGGTGTGTGTGTGTGTGTGTGTGTGTGTGTGTGTGTGTGTGTTTCTTCTTCCCCATGGGTTGATTGATGTTCCCGATCCCTCAGAGAGGCGAGTGTGCGTCGGTGCTGTGTGTGCGTCTTCTTTCCCACCGTAGACTGGTTGGTTGAGAGTATTTCGCATGCAGACTGGCGGGTGTACATTGTGTGACAGGCAATTGTGTGAGTTGTGTGTGATTCTTCTTCCCCATAGAGTGATCGATTCGTGCATCCGGGATACTGCAGGCAGGCAAGCGTGAGTTGTGCGTGTCGTGAAATGCTCGCCAAGTCATTATCATTTTGTCGCGTGTGAGGATTTCTGTGTGCCAGACTTAAAAGGGTGAATAGATCCATCATCCTCAGTTGGTACACCCTTGAACAGTTGAAATACAGACCAGGTGCTGAGTTTGAACTGCACTGGAAGCAGATGAGTGAAATACTGCCATTCCGAAGTACCTAGGGCCGGTCAGTTCCATGATCATATCGCAAGGCCGTCACCCTTTTTATTAAAAAAAACAAAAAAGGAATCGATCCATCCTAGACTGTTGCCCCCATGCATACAGGTAGGGCACTCGCACTTCGCACCCTAAGGACGACTTGCGGAGAGTAGAAAGATGTACAGGTAGGGCACTCGCACTTCGTGCATTAAGGAAGACTCGCGAAGCGTAGAAAGATGTACAACACGAGCTGACGACAAACATGTAGCACCTGTATTTCTGTGTTTTAGACTTCTAGTGTGTCTTGTATTTCTGTGTTCTAGACTTCTAGTGTGAGTCTTGTACTTCTGTGTTCTAGACTTCTAGTGGGAGTCTTGTATATAGTATTTTGTACCTTGGCACAAAGCTCTAGAGAGTAGACACCTCTGTACATGGGGGTTGAGGAGGAGAATGAAGAGGGGATTGAGGAGCCCAACAGTGTAAAGCTCTGTGGAAATTTTAGTGCTGTCTCTGGTCACTGGTGTGCTTTCAGTTTCTTAAACCACCAGCAGTACGTCCAAGCCTCTTTTGCATGAGACGGATTCCCACTGCACGCGAAGCTTGTTGCTGAAACGCCAGAGCAGTGTTTTTGTTTTAGTTCTGGCTGATGCCGCCAACCATTTTGGTCCGGTTGCCACGAGCCTCCGATTTTTTTGGGAGAGGCTCAACCATGATTCGCAACTTGGCTGGGGCCATGTACTGGTGGTTCAAGTAATAAAGATTCTCCCCCAGAAGTCTCCCGCACTTTGGGGGTGGCTGACACTTCATTGCCTCTGCCAAGAGGTGTGTGCCATGTTGTCCCCTTCGTCTATCTCCAGAACAGAGGCCATTCGTCCTTGTTCGACCTCTCAAGTGTGAAGCCGGCCTGCAACCGCTGAGGATTGGCTCTCTAGAGGGCTGAGGATTGAGGATTGCAATGCATTTCCCAAGGGATGGACGAACTGTCGATGCAGCCAGGATGTCATTGATGCCAAGTTCACACCCTCCAATGCCTAATTCACACCCATCCATGCCTAGCCCGCACCCGAGAATGCCTAGCCCGCACCCGAGAATGCCTACTCCGCACCCGAGAATGCCCAGTCCGCACCCAACGATGCCAAGTCCACACTCAGGAATGCCCGGTCCACACCCAGGAATGCCTGGTCCACACTTAGGAATGCCTGGTCCACACCCAGGAATGCCTGGTCCACACCCAGGAATGCCTGGTCCACAACCGGGAATGCCTGGTCCACAGCCTGGAATGCCTG